GCTTATGTATTATTCTCTTTTCTTCCCCTTCTTCTCCTTCTGTGTTCATTACTTTCTGTCTTGCAGGGAGTCTCCTAGGCCAGCTCAGCCCAAGCTAATAAGGCCCCTGACTTCAGGTCCCCACTTCTTGCATGGAGCAAGAAGTGATCCTCCTGTCTCGGCCTCCCAAAGTGCTGGGTAGGTGTGAGCCACCACATCCAGCCTAGAGCACTTACATTGCTACATATTTGGAGCAAACGTAATTAAAGTATGTCTTATTGTGACCCAGCAGTCAATAACAGATAACGTTTTTATAGTAGAGTGCTGAAGGGTGGTAACTTGTGGTTTTACTTCATGGAGGGCTTTAGGTCAGCTGTATGGGAGACTGCCATCACGATGCTTTTGTTCTACACATCTCTGCTCAGCCTCCAGAGATGTCTCCTATTCTAAGAGCCATCTGTACTTACTCTTGTGTCTATATTTTACTTACTTACTTCCCTCACATAATAGTGTATCATTCTATCCTATCTGTGCTCTATCAAGAAATGTAGCACAAGCATGATGTGAACTATGAATTTTCAACAATTTAAAAAATTAGAGCATTGAAGGGTAAAAAGCACAAAGTTGTAGAACAGCTGAAGTGTGATCTTTTTATGTATCCTGTCTTTGCCCCTTTACTGGAAACTTGGATTGACCTACTTGCAGTCATTACCACAGTCATTGCCACTACTTCTAGCCTCAAAGGTCATTGAAAGGATTTTGAGAACTACAATAACACTTGCTCTAGGTACTAAAAAGTTGTCCTGAGCTCATTCATTTTATGTTCATCCCAGTTTGTTTTTGCTTTTCCTCCCAGGATTTCCATTACACAGACATCTTGCAAGTGTATTTCCATTCTCTTTCTCTCCCACTCTGTGCCTGGTGCCCATAGGATCTGAAATAGCATTGGAATGACAGCTAGCCTTCTGGAACCTGCAGTTTCAACCAAGGAAACTCTGATTCCAGATAACCCAGGAGTTTCTTGTCCTGCATAATCTAGGAGTTTACAAAAAGGATGTTTATGGGTACTCACTGCTAAGTACAATCCACTGCTGTAAGTGGATTGCATTTGGAAGCATTTGGAAGCATTACCTGCTCTCACAACCCAGGGAAAGTAGCCCTTAGTAAAATTCAGGTTTTTCAAACCAGCCTTAACCTTACATACAGAATTTATCATCACAATTTTTCTTTCAAATGAAATACAGCAAACTTTAGGATCAATGTTGACATCATGTTGCGTTCAATCCTGTTAAAATACTCTCAGTGCCAAATACACACTTCTGCCTTTTTTCTCTTTAGAGTCTAGAATTCTGTGGGGTTCCAAAGATGTATGTGCCTACAACCTTTTTTATGTAACCTAGGGATTAAAGGGCTTAATGTGAAGGAAAATATATTTACACTATTCATCTTGGAAAGCTCTCATTTTGGTGAGTTCTATTAGAGAAAATAAGACACAAGCTCATTAAAAATATATACATATATATTCTGAGCCTGGCATCTTGGTATAAAATTCAAAACGTTTTAAATCTGTGTATTAATAAGACTAACATAGACCTAAGTGTGAAGACTAAAATATTAAAGCTTGTAGGTGATATCATGGTAGAATATGACCTTAGAGTAGATTCCTTAGGACAGAGAAACACCAACAAGAGAAACAGTTGACTAAATGGACTTCATTAAAATTAAAAATGTATGTTCAACAAAAGACACTGCTAAAATAAATACAGAATTTACAGACTAAAAGAAAATATTTGCAACATGTTTATCTGGCAAAGGGCTTATATCCATACTATACAAAGAATTCCTATAGCTCCATAATAAAAAGACAGACATTCCCATAATAAAAAAAGCAAAAGACTTAAACATATACTATACAAAAGAAGATACAGGAATGGTCAATAAATAAGCAAATGAAAGAGTACTCGACATCACTAATTATCAGTGGAGTGAAGATTTAGCCACAGGGAGATACGAATTCCAGTTCTAGGTATTTTTACCTCAAGTGAAATAAAAACATATTTGTCCATGAAAAGACTTGTACAAGAATGTTCATAGCAGTGCTATATTCATAAGAGTGGAAACATCCCAGAATAGATAACACATTATGGTACAGTCATAGAATATACTATATTTATCAGCAGTTAAAGAAGGGAACTACTTATATATTCAACAACATGGATGAATCTTAAAAACACGTTAAAGGCCAGGTGTGGTTGGTGCATGCCTGTAATCCAAGCACTTTGGGAGGCCGAGGCTGGTGGATCACTTCAGGTCAGGATTTCGAGACCAGCCTGGCCAACATGGCGAAACTATGTCTCTACAAAAAAATACAAAAATTAGCCAAGGGTGGCGCACACCTGTAATCTCAGCTACTCAGGAGGCTGAGACATGGGAATTGCTTGAACCCGAGGGGCGGAGGTTGCACTGAGCCAAGATTGCACCACTGTACTCCAGCCTGGTGACAGAGCGGGATGCTGTCTCAGAGAAAAAAGAAAAAGAAAGCGTTAAAAAGACAGACAGAGGAGTCTATACTGTGATTCTATTTATATAATCTAGACTAAGCAAAACTAATCTATGATGATAGTAATCAGATTGAAGGATCAGTGGTTGCTTGATGGAGATTGCCCGAGAAGGGAAATAAAGAGCCATGTAAGAATACTGGTAAATGTCATCTTCCCCAATACAAACGTCTGAGAAAGTTACTAGAAAACAGGGTCCAGTTTGCCTTCTCACCCCCAACTTTGTAATCTTGAATCCAGATCCTGATTCCACCCAACCACTCTGCTGAATGGATAGCAGCTATATTAGAGAGACAATATAGTGGGCCTGCTAGTTTAAAGAAGTCACCCAAAGAATGTCATCTACAATCAGTTAAATTAGATTTTTACCCATTACTGAAGTGTGATTGAATTAGGGAAAGAGGAGAGGTGGTCAAAGGCAGCCTTCTCCAGTGGATTCCTTGTCTTCTTGAGATGGTTTTGTGATACCTTGCCTGGAAGACCTAGGTGGTTAGTTTATTTTCTAAAAGTTGTCTAAGAAAGTTTGTTTAGGGCATTGAACACTGCAGGGACAAGCATACTTCTTGGAGGCCAGCCATCTCCTGCTAGATCTAAGCGGGGTGGCTTCTGCCCCCACCTCCATCTCAGCTTGAGAGAATCCTGGATCCTTTGTGCAGGAGCCCAGCCAGCCTGTGAAGAAAAGTTGGTCTGGTAGTATCCTGTGAATGACTTAAGGCTTGGGTTTTTCTAAATCTCATTTGCCTGACTCCTACCTTACATTCCAGTGGTGTGACTAAGGAACTGAGCAAACGTAACCCTAGGGGACTTTGAAACAGGCTTTGGTAGCCTGTGTGCATTAGAGTGAGGGGAAAGAGGCCACTTCTGAGCTGGGTACTCTACTGTTGAAGGTGAGCCTTTTGTGTCCAATTTTTCCGTGCATGTGTAAGAACAGTTGTCATGGAGATTTTCTACTGACTTGTGCATGAGGACAGCTTGTATCTCACCTTTTCTAATTCACCCTGTTAAATGTCAAAATGTACTAAGACTTAGGTATTTTTTCTGCGTCACCAACTACTAAATCACCAACCCATAATAGCAGGTAGTTACTGAAACTCCTGTTTTATAGCCAGACAAGTACATACCAGTGGCACACATGATTGTGAGAGTGCTGACTCCTTAGCTTTACTGTTGTAAGCTTTTAATTTCTGAGTACTTTCAGGATCGAGAAGTGGAAGACATTGTTGCTCTAGGTACCTCATGCTTATGCACACCCAGAAGGCTGGTTCTGCCCCCACCCCACCGCCCACCCCTTTTCTTTGATAGGGTCATCCTCTGTTACCCAGGCTGAAAGGCTGGCTATCTTCACCACAGGTCTTATGTCTCTAGGACCATGGGCCCACGTCATAGTCAGGAACCAGGCATGTGTGGGCAGAAATCACTACCACTTTCCTTTGTTGTGGGTGGGGAAATTAAGAGCAGAGATTCTTGGATTCTTAAATTCCTTCTCTATGTTTATGTCATGTAGTCTGTTTTATGCTGTTTTATGTAACCCCCTGCTTCTGGGATTTCTTGAAATTTTTCCCTTCTCACTTGTCATAATTGGCTCTTGCTTGTGAGTCTATTTTCATTCAGCTTGGTAGCAGAAATTCTTCTTCACTATTGTTTAGATTCAGTTTTCACACGGTTTTAATAACCCTTCATTGGCTTTAGAATCAACTTTTAACCCTTCCACCAAAAGCTCTTATATTTTTTCAAGGCTTTCCAGAAACATAGTTCCTCTCAGTCTCATCAAGAAATGCTTTGAAATGCAGAAGTTAGAAAATGGTGAATAAGTATGGTTGTTCCTGGAAGTCATTGTGTCCTTAGTAATTACATGTTGTAGTCTTTGGTTCTGTGTCTCTGACAGCTTCACCACACTGTAATTTAATGGAATTCACTTAGATTTAATGGAATTCAGTCCTAGTAGAAAACTGCTATTGGGTCGCAGAGTTGGCAGCAAGGCTGCGAAACTGATGTGGGAATGAGGGTGATTATATGCTTTGTGTTGACAGAATTTAGTTTTTGGGACATCCCATGTGGGTTTTTCCCAGGAACATAAACATTTTACAGAATTAAAACTAGAAACTTTCTTCTGGGAAAGCCTCAGAAGTCAGTTGTGCTTGGCAGTGAGATGGGACAGTGTACATTCTTATCAGGTTAAATGTGCCAAACTCTCTCTTCAGTACTATTCTTTTTTACCTTTGCTTAAGGTCAAGTTCCTGCTCTTTTATTCAACATGTCGCTTTGTCACCCATGCTGGAGTGCAGTGGCATGATCTCGGCTCACTGCAACCTCTGCCCCCTGTGTTCAAGCAATTCTTGTGCCTTAACCTCCCGATTAGCTAGCCGGGATTACAGACTTGCATCACCTTGCCTGGCTATATTCAAAGTCTGCCTTTACTACACTGTCCCGAAGTAATCTGCCTTTGGGTTTGGGTCTTTATAGGGTGAGAAGGACTGGCAGAAATACGAGACTGCTCGGCGGCTGAAAAAATGTGTGGACAAGATCCGGAACCAGTATCGAGAAGACTGGAAGTCCAAAGAAATGAAAGTCCGGCAGAGAGCTGTAGCCCTGTACTTCATCGACAAGGTGAGAGCATCTTCCCATCGGCATTGTCTAGTGTTGAGCTTAACAAAGGGAGTTTCTGCTCTGCCCCAGGCCCTGTGCCACATACTATATATCACAACTCAACACACATAGAAATATATTTGTGTGTATAACTGAATCAGAAGTTGCACAGAACAATGCTTAGCCTTACTGTGAGCAGTAGATTCTGATTTTTTTTTTTTTTTTACTTTATTTCATTCCTTTAGAAAGTTGGTTATAACTTATAAAATTGGTTAAATAAACCATGCAGGTATCACCATTATATAGTTTTAAAGACCATGCTCTAGAGGAGATCGATTTCTTGGTACTCACGAGAAGAAAAAGAAGTTCATGTTTTTCCCCCAGTCTTGTGTTTTAACATAAGTTCTGACTTGTCTCAAAATTCACACTAGCTTTTTAAGTTTGATTGCCCAGAGTAGCAGCACTCCCTCATTTGCTGCCTTATTTATTTTTTTTTGTTTTCTCCATCCCCATTTCAGAGGACAGAACAGACAGAAGAGGAGCTTGAATATTTAACATCCCTCTAGATTTCATAGTGGGTGGGGGAGGAAGTAACACTGCAGAATCCAGAGTTTCCAGGCCATGCTGACTGATGCTGTAGCTTCAAACAGAATTGGGAGGCTTCTGTTTTGGATTCCCAGAAATTGTATAAGGGTCAAAAGGCCGGGCGTGGTGGCTCATGCCTGTAATCTCAGCACTTTGGGAGTCCGAGGCAGGTGGATCACGAGGTCAAGAGATCGAGACCATCCTGGCCAACGTGGTGAAACCCCATCTCTACTAAACATACAAAAAAAATTGGCCAGGCGTGGTGGTGGACACCTGTAGTCCCAGCTACTTGGGAGGCTGAGGCAGGAGAATCACTTGAACCAGAGAGGCGAAGGTTGCAGTGAGCCAAGATTGCGCCACTGCACTCCAGCCTGGTGACACAGCAAGAGTCTGTCTCATGCTCACCTTTTCTTTCTTTCCTGGGCAGCTTGCTTTGAGAGCAGGCAATGAAAAGGAGGAAGGAGAAACAGCGGATACTGTGGGTTGCTGCTCACTTCGTGTGGAGCACATCAATCTACACCCAGAGCTGGATGGTCAGGAATATGTGGTAGAGTTTGACTTCCTTGGGAAGGACTCCATCAGATACTATAACAAGGTCCCTGTTGAGAAACGAGTAAGTTAACGTAGCCTGTACTGTCTGGCTTGTTTTTCATTATTCAACAAGCATGGGTTGACTGCTTTTTTGTGTGTTCTGCACTTTGCTGGGCACCAGCAAAAGTGACTTGAGACAGGCATTGTGGCACATGCCTGTAGACCCAGCTACTCAGAAGGCTGAGACAGGAGAATCACCAGAGACCAAAAGTTTGAGGCTGTAGTGTGCTGTGATCACACCTGTGAATAACCACTGCACTCCAGCCTGGGCAAAATAGTGAGACTCTGCCTCTCAAATTAAAATAAAAATAAATGACTTGAAAGAGGAGAGGTATTATTTGGTATCTTGTGTACCCCCTTTTAGTCACTGTCCCGCCCTGTGCTATCTTCTGGTAGCAGTATTCAATTGAGTGGCCTTCTGTAGCAGTATTCATTGGAGCATGCTGTAGAATAGGCCCTTACAGCAAATTCAGCATATGATTTAACTGTATCTTAGTATCCCCTGGTCATGTGGCACATTTGTCACTTTGCATCTTTGCTCAGCCTCTCTCCAGCTCCTGAGTGAAAGGTTAATCTGTTAGTCCCCAGATCTCTGAGCCCATCACTGAAGAGGGTGCTACAGATCTATAGTCCCAATCTAATCTTTTCCATAGTATTGGGCTTGAACCAGAGACGTATAGTGTGCAGGATCCTAATAATCCAGCCCATCAGCAGTCCTCTTCTTATAAGGACACTATAATCAGTAATTAGGTTTTGCTAGCTGTGGAAGTACTCTGTATGAGAGACTAAAGAGATTTGACAATTAAATGTAATACCTGACCTCAGATTGGATTCTGTACTGGTGAGATAAAGGGCATCATCAGGTAAACTGACAAAATTGGACTGTGGACAGTAGATTAGATAACAGTATGTATCAATGTAAATTTTTGAAGCTGATAAATACTGTGTAAATGTAAGGGAATATCTATTTTTAGAACATACACACTGAAATGTTTGGGACCATATTATAAGTACTTATAAATGTACTTTAGGACCATATGATAAGTAAGTGCTTATAAATGGCTCAGAACAAATAATTATGTATATATATCTGTAAATATACACATGGAGAGAGTGAGCATACATGCGCACTGTGCAAATGGTGAATGGGGTGAAACGTTAACAGTGAATCTCAGTGACGATGTATGCATCTTCCTTGTGCCTTTTTCTTTGCAAGTTTCTTTAAGTTTGGAATTATTTCTAAAGTTAGGATTTTTTCAAAGAATAATAATTAGGATTCACTTTGTCTTCTAGGTTTTTAAGAACCTACAACTATTTATGGAGAACAAGCAGCCTGAGGATGATCTTTTTGATAGACTCAATGTGAGTAGACAAAGCACACTATGTTGGAGTCCCAGCCAGAGCCTTACAGTACCTAAAGCGGGGGAGAGTTGCTGGCAGACGACTTGGGCTCTCCCTTTAGCCTGGCCTGCTCTGTGGCATCCCATACACACTGTCTTCCTCCCTCTGAGCCCACAGTGAATCTGCAGTCACGAGAAGACACATCTGCTGCAGAACAGCTGCTAAAGCACTCAGGGTGGGGGGTAGACAAGCCCTACCTTTTATCCTTCCCTGCTTCTGCAGCACTTTCACTTCACTGGATGCCCAGCCACCCCTGCTGGAGACCCAAAACCTGTCCCTGATATCCTAATAGGGAAGGACAAATTTGCTTTATTGGTCTGTTAAGCCCACCAACCTGGGCCAGGCTTGGTGGCTCATGCCTGTTACCGGAGCACTTTGGGAGGTCAAGTAGGGCAGATCCCTTGAGGTCAGGAGTTTGAGACCAGCCTGGGCAACATGGCAAAACCAATATCCAGGCATGGTAGTCCACACCTGTAGTCCCAGCTACTTAAGAGCCTCAGGGGGATTGCATGAGCCCAGGAGATGGAGGCTGCAGTGAACAAGATTGCACCACTGCACTCCAGGCTGGGTGTCAGAGTGAGACCCTGTCATACACACACAGAAAGACTGAAATACTTCATAGAGAGGCATCATGTAACCCTGTATTCTGGAATTCTTTTCCTCTTTCCCTAACTTCCCACTTGTAGGGCAATAAACCGACAAGATTGTGACTGCACTGGCATAAATTACTCCTAGGACTGCCAGAAGGAGCAGGTAGTAAAGCTTTGACCTAAATCTCTGTTGCTTTGTCTCCTCCAGACTGGTATTCTGAATAAGCATCTTCAGGATCTCATGGAGGGCTTGACAGCCAAGGTATTCCGTACATACAACGCCTCCATCACGCTACAGCAGCAGCTAAAAGAACTCACAGCCCGTAAGTATTGCTTGGCCAGACAGGGCCCACACCCCTACTAATGGTATCCGGTGTCCTTGCTTAGCTAAGTCTTAGAGTCAGTTCTACTTTTTTTCCCTACCATTGTGGTCACTTTTTCGCTTTAGACCTCTAGTAGCCAGCTAATGCTATGCTTAGTTGTATAAACATAGGATCAGTACTGTTTCCCCCTTCCCACCCCTAACTTCAAGATTAATTTCATGGAATGCTGACAGCTTTTCACCTGCTATGAAAATGCCTGCATTTGTGTTTTATACGTATATTACTTAAAAGCCCACAGAGTGAAGACAGTGCTGTGATGTTCTGTTAAATTGGAGAGAGTAAAGTTGTCATGGTTACCAGAAAAATACAGGAACAAGTCCTTCCCCTGAAGTTTCTGTCATTTTTTTTCCCCATAAGAGAGTAGATACTTTCTATAGCTGATTTTTAGAATATCATCACCAAGATCCATGGGCTTTTTTTTCCTGGAGCCCAGTCACTATTGAATTTCCACTGCCCTCTGTAAATACGTCAAGTGGCCTTAAAATATGAACCAGAAAAGCCAGAGGTAGGTATGTTGAGGGTCATTATTTTAAGGTGGTAGAAAGAATGCCACACTATACAAATAAAAACAATTTTTTTGGATGGCATTTATAATTTTTCTTTTTAAATAAGATACTACCAGGCCAGGTGCAGTGGCTCACACCTGTAATCCCAGCACTTGGGTAGCCAAGGCAGGAGAATCACTTGAACCCAGGAGTTCCAGACCAGCCTGGGCAACATAGTGAGACCTTGTCTCTACAAAAATTTCTGAAAATTAGGCAGGCATGGCAGTGTGCACCTGTAGTCCCAGCTGCCTGGGAGGCTGAGCCCAGGAGTTTAGGGCTGTAATGAGCTATGACCATACCACCGTACTCCAGCCTGGGTGACAGAGTGAGACCCTATCTCTAAAATAATAATAATCATAAAATACTACTACCACCTGTGGCTTAAAACTTTTAAACTTTTAATGTCCCTTCAATTCCTCATTCTGTTCTGGCTATATTGGGTGGAGAGGTGGGGAGGTAGGGAGTGGCCAGCATAGAACTTAGGAATATGGGCAACAAACCATAGTAATAGCAGCAGCACCTATGATGAGCATATGGGTGGGGAGGAAGCAAGGAGATGAAGGGTCCCTAGTCAAGTTCCCTGAGTAAAAAGAAAGATGTAGATTTTATTATATTACCTAGACTCAGAGTTCCTCTTATGATGGGAATTTACCCAGCCCAAGCTTACATATAAACTTACTACTATCATTTTCTTAAGACTATTGACTCAAATTTTGACCTTAGTCCTTGGGGGCAACTTGAATTAATCATCTGAGTAAGATAAGGGCCAGCAGAATCATGGGGACAAGGCACTGGGGGAAGACATACTGTGTGTTCACTTTTGGCGTGCAAACTGACCCTCCTGCTACCATGTTCCTTTCTTTACAGCGGATGAGAACATCCCAGCGAAGATCCTTTCTTATAACCGTGCTAATCGAGCTGTTGCAATTCTTTGTAACCATCAGAGGGCACCACCAAAAACTTTTGAGAAGTCTATGATGAACTTACAATCTAAGGTATCTTGGATAAAATGAAGGGAACTGTGTCTGCTGTGGGCAGATCATCTGCAAATGAGAGGATTTGGGGCTGGGATATCAGCAGGCCAGTTCTGGGTCTGTTGTAGAAGGTCTATGCTAAAGATAAACAAATGGAAATATGATAGTAGTTAATCTCTAATCAAGACACTGAATATCAGAGTACCCATTGTTCAAGAAATCTTTCTTCTACAGATAGAAGTTCTATACTGGCCACTCCCTATTTTGAAAAACTAACTTTGATGTACATTCTAATTGCTAATTACTGTCCTTATTGTACATGAGGAAAGTGGATTTAAAGAGTCTTCATAATTCCTTGCCACAGCTCAGAAATACAGCCATTTCCAAATTAGATTGTTTCAAATTGAAAAGATGATGAAACAATTATATATTTAAAGTCTTTCCAATCCTAGCATAGCTATTTTTATTTTTACGCATTCCACATGAATCATATTTTTATATAGTTCATCATCAAACATCTGTTGAATACTGGCCATGTGCCAGACAAGTTGCTGCCCTAGACGGAAAGACTGGTGTGCAAATAGGTGCTATTCCTTGTCCCTGAGCCTCTTTCCTCCTCCTGACTCCACCTGGTACTGAGCTTTTAAACCATAAGGCACTTAACATTTGATGATGAACATTTTTGTGTTAGCAATGACTTCATAACTAATTCATCCTAACGTGGTGGTCCACAGTGAGAATTTGCAGATATTTCATTATAGAACAGATATAAAGGGTTAAAAAGGAAACAAATTATATTGAAATACAGTTATCAAAATACATTTTAAAGTCCGATACAGTAATAGATGTGCTTCCTTATTAAGGTCTTGAGGTGGCTGTAGTAAATTTCAAGGTAGTAATTAATTAATATCAATGATACTTTAAGATTTCTGCAGCAATTCAAATATGAAATGAAAATGTCTAACATCTATTGATGATAAAGTCATATGTGCTGCTATTATATTACTATGGTTTGTTCCCCATATTCAATTTTTTTTTTTTTTTTTTTTTTTTTTTTGAGACGGAGTCTTGCTTTGTCACCCAGGCTAGAGTGCAGTGGCCGGATCTCAGCTCACTGCAAGCTCCGCCTCCCAGGTTCACGCCATTCTCCTGGCTCAGCCTCCCGCGTAGCTGGGACTACAGGCGCCCGCCACCTCGCCCGGCTAGTTTTTTGTATGTTTTAGTAGAGACGGCGTTTCACCATGTTAGCCAGGATGGTCTCGATCTCCTGACCTCGTGATCCGCCCGTCTCGGCCTCCCAAAGTGCTGGGATGTTCCCCATATTCATAACTGAAGAAGAAATGCTAAATTTCAGCTAGAGGCTGGGTGCAGTGGCTCACACCTGTAATCTCAGCATTTTGGGAGGTTGAGGTGGGAGGATCACTTGAGCTGAGTAATTCAAGACCAACCCAGGCAACAGAGTGAGACCCTGTCTCTATTAAAAATTTAAAAAATATAAATAAATTTCAAAAGGAGGTTATTGAAATTATAGATGTAATTTTTTTCTCATCCAAGTTCATGGAATTCTATACTTGTACAACTGGAGTTTAAGAACTACTACTATGGAATGAGACTGCATTTTAAGGCTCAGAATGTTTTCCATTTGTTGAAATTTCCTTAAGATAAGTACCCATGAGTAATACAGCTGGTTCAAAAGGTACACACAACCTATAATTTATGCTACAGATACCATCTGGCTTTCTTGAAGAGATGTACCCGTCCACAGTGAATGAATATACATCCATAGACCTCTTGAGTCCTTGGATCATATGATTGGCAGGCAAAGAACTCTATAGATGGCCCATCCTAGCAGCTCACATTTGCTGCCACTCTGTTAAATGCTGGTCATCTGGAATTGTTTATTCTCCTCATGTTATCATTCCAAGCCAGAAATAAAAGCATGAATATTCAGGTGCTGTTTACCTAATTCAGGAAGACCCCTCCCAGGAGTATGAGGAGGTCTTTTGTTGCTCTCACTCTGGAACCACTGTTTGGGCAGCCCAGGCTGCCTGCCAGACGAGCCCTCCAAGCCCAGGATTCCTCTCCTGTGTGCCCACAAAGCAAACACACGCCCCTTTTTGCCAAGTGAATCAATGGAGTCTTTGATGCTTTGAGAGAATTTGACATAGCCTGCCAATTTAGCATTCACAGAAATGGTTAAAAGATTGTGGTTTGCTACATTTCTATCCTAAAAAGAATCTGGCTAGTGGTGTCTGTGACGCTTTTGTATATAGAATCAGTCCCCTCAGTTTGGCTTTGGACAACATAGATATTGGAAGTAAGCCATTCATAGTAAAACATATTTAGTGATTCTCTCACAATGGTGGCCTCTGTTTCCAGTCTTGGGCTGTGTGTATTTAACAAACAATTCTGGGCTCAGTGAGCAGCCCAGTGTGTGTCAGACATGTTATTTACTCTGTGGAGGTTGTGTTAACCTCACAGATCAGCTAGATGGTCATAGATATGGGGTTCTTCTGTCCTCAGAGCAGCGTGAGCTCACTGACAGGGGCTCTAGCTCCATGTTGTTACCCACTGCTGTCTCTAAGCAGGAATCTAAGAACTTTCTCACCAGTGGTGCTTCAAGGATTCTAACAAGCAAGAAAGGCTGAAACTGCCCTTGTCTCTTCCCTTATAGATATGGATTCCACGAGATTTCACTTGGGAAAAAAAGCTCCACAGCTGAAAGTGTTTTCACATCCATTGAGTGACAACTAAGGTCCTTCCCACCTCAGACCTCTCTCCTTTTTATTTTATTTATTTATTTATTGAGACGGAGTCTCGCTCTGTCACCCAGGCTGGAGTGTAGTGGCGTGATCTTGGCTCACTGTAAGCTCCACCTCCCAGGTTCATGCCATTCTCCTGCCTCAGCCTCCCGAGTAGCTGGGACTACAGGCGCCCACCACCACACCTGGCTAATTTTTTGTATTTTTAGTAGAGATGGGGTTTCACCATGTTAGCCAGGATGGTCTAAATCTCCTGACCTTGTGGTCCACCCACCTCAGCCTCCCAAAGTGCTAGGATTACAGGCATAAGCCACCGCGCCCGGCAACCTCTCTCCTTTTAAAAACAGAATGCCAAAGCTAGGCCCTGCCATGTCCTGGTTTGGGACAGACTGGCTGAGCTGTTTGGCTTCCTGGGTATCTTTTAATTGCCAGTTTGTAGCCCCTTGAGTACTCTCTTCAGTGCATCCATTTGCCTTGAGAAGCTGTCGCCGCCTTCCCAGAGTACTGGTGGGATCTGAGGAACGAGCTGGGGTTGCCCAGTAGATGCAAGTATCCTGGCTCAGCTTCCTAAAGAGTAGCTCCTACAGTGTTCTTGGAATGAAAGCTAAAAACTGGCACAGGATCTAGTTGATAAACAGCTGTCATTTGTAGCCGTTCTCCCAGATGTCTGACAGCAGAGTGTTCTCTGATGGAAAGATCAGCACCCAGATTCCCAGCCCCAGCGGGTTCCTTTCCCTGAGCCCCTAGGTTACTATGCTGTAGAACCCTTGTTTCTTGCAGGATCACTGAAGAACAAATAGTTGAATTCAGTAGTCCCTGTGCATCTTCTCCCTGCCTTCATGAAGCCACCCTTGGTGTTTTTATCTGACAAACCACTGACAGAGACAGCTTGGTCCAGATAACATCTAGGTTTCACCTTATCTTGAGGGAGCCATTTTTCCTCTACAGCTCATAACCTTACCACTATTATTTCCCCTAGATTGATGCCAAGAAGGAACAGCTAGCAGATGCCCGGAGAGACCTGAAAAGTGCTAAGGCTGATGCCAAGGTCATGAAGGATGCAAAGACCAAGAAGTACGTACCTGGTATTGTAAAAGTTGGGGCGGGTGGGGAAAAGTGTGTGCAGCATCTGTCAGAGGTCCTGGGGCCCTGGCTTTTCTATGGTTTCTGAGGGATGTCTTTTGGAAATCTCTGTACTAGGGCTTTTATTGACTCAAAGTGGCAGCATGGGTACAGTGTGCTCTTGTTTAGAGCCCAGGCCTGGTTCTTGAGGACTGTGCTATTCTTCTAGGGTAGTAGAGTCAAAGAAGAAGGCTGTGCAGAGACTGGAGGAACAGTTGATGAAGCTGGAAGTTCAAGCCACAGACCGAGAGGAAAATAAACAAATTGCCTTGGGAACCTCCAAACTCAATTATCTGGACCCTAGGATCACAGTGGCTTGGTAAGTGTTGAACCTTCCTTGAGCTCCTGCTGCTAGCTTGAGAAAGGTGGAGGGCACTGGTGGCCTTCACATGCCATTCCTAAGCTGCACACTTCTAGTCCTCTGGGGAAACTTCTGGCTTCAGCTGTGTACAAGTTACTTTGGTTGCTGAACCTTGTCTGTAGATGCATTGCAACATTCTGGTTGCTCCTAAATGGTCAGTGCTGTCATACTGCCTTGTAGTGTATGTTATGTTTTTAAGAGGCAGGTTCCATCCCTATTCCTTATGGAACTTTAGGACAGGAATGGAAACTCTTAGCTTCTGGCAAAATAGGAAAGAGCCCATTCAACTCTACCCTTCAACAAAACTTTTCGTTGAAATTTTTTGCAGTTGAAGGTAGGAACAAGAGATAAAGATGAGAATAGAGATCTGAGCAACTTACACAGAGAGGCAGAGGGGTCTTTAACAAAGGCAGATAAATATTAGGTTTCTCTCTGTGTGTCACACACACTGTCACATAACATCTGAAATAAGTGGCTTTGTTTTGGAAGATGTTTAGTTTGAGCTGTTAAGTTCTGAGCATAGGTGGAGATATCCTCCCCTATGGCACTTGCTAGTCCGGGCTAAAGGTTCCACCTAACTCTTTTGTACCTCTTTCTGCTCGTTTTGCCTTGTTTGGTGCTAGAGGTTTGGTTAGCTCTTAAAAGGCAATATAGTATAGGGTTAAGAACATGGAGAAAAACTGCTTGGGTTCAAATTTCAGGTCACTTACCACCTAGCTGTTTGAGAAAATCAGTAAATTACCTAACGTCTCTGCCTCAGTTTCTTCATCTGTACCTTTTTTACTTGTACATCTGCAGAAGCACCTACTTTAGAGATCACTGCCAAGATTAAATGAGTTGATCACATAAAACCTTTAGAACATGCTTGGTGCACTATTAATTTGCATCCTCACTAGACAGACGTGAAAGAGAAGATGGAACATCTGACCCTGGGCTTCAGATATGGGCCATTGCTGAGTCACCCTAATCCCCCTTATTTCTCCTTTGTTTGCAGGTGCAAGAAGTGGGGCGTCCCAATTGAGAAGATTTACAACAAAACCCAGCGGGAAAAGTTTGCCTGGGCCATTGACATGGCTGATGAAGACTACGAGTTTTAGCCAGTCTCAAGAGGCAGGGTTCTGTGAAAAGGAACAGTGTGGTTTGGGAAAGATGGATAAACTGAGCCTCGCTTGCCCTCGTGCCTGGGGGAGAGAGGCAGCAAGTCTTAACAAACCAACATCTTTGCGAAAAGATAAACCTGGAGATATTATAAGGGAGAGCTGAGCCAGTTGTCCTATGGACAACTTATTTAAAAATATTTCAGATATCAAAATTCTAGCTGTATGATTTGTTTTGAATTTTGTTTTTATTTTCAAGAGGGCAAGTGAATGGGAATTTGTCAGCGTTCTACCAGGCAAATTCACTGTTTCACTGAAATGTTTGGATTCTCTTAGCTACTGTATGCAAAGTCCGATTATATTGGTGCGTTTTTACAGTTAGGGTTTTGCAATAACTTCTATATTTTAATAGAAATAAATTCCTAAACTCCCTCCCCTCTCCCCCATTTCAGGAATTTAAAATTAAGTAGAACAAAAAACCCAGCGCACCTGTTAGAGATGTCACTCTCTATTGTCATGGGGATCAATTTTCATTAAACTTGAAGCAGTTGTGGCTTTGGCAGTGTTTTGGTTCAGACACCTGTTCACAGAAAAGCATGATGGGAAAATATTTCCTGACTTGAGTGTTCCTTTTTAAATGTGAATTTTTATTTTTAATTATTTTAAAATATTTAAACCTTTTTCTTGATCTTAAAGATCGTGTAGATTGGGGTTGGGGAGGGATGAAGGGCGAGTGAGTCTAAGGATAATGAAATAATCAGTGACTGAAACCATTTTCCCATCATCCTTTGTTCTGAGCATTCACTGTACCCTTTAAGATATCCATCTTTTTGTTTTTAACCCTAATCTTTCACTTGAAAGATTTTATTGTATAAAAAGTTCCACAGGTCAATAAATTTAGAGGAAAATGAGTATTTGGTCCAAAAAAGAAAAATAATCAAGATTTTAGGGCTTTTATTTTTTCTTTTGTAATTGTGTAAAAAATGGAAAAAAAACATAAAAAGCAGAATTTTAATGTGAAGACATTTTTTGCTATAATCATTAGTTTTAGAGGCATTGTTAGTTTAGTGTGTGTGCAGAGTCCATTTCCCACATCTTTCCTCAAGTATCTTCTATTTTTATCATGAATTCCCTTTTAATCAACTGTAGGTTATTTAAAATAAATTCCTACAACTTAACGGAAACTTAAGTGTCTGCCTCTTTGTTACAAAGGGCCTCAGGCCAGAGTTGGGGCTGGGACTTAGTGTGGGATGAGGTCTCACCACTCAGGTCAGCAAGAGTAGATTCCTCCCAGGAGCAGATGAGGTAGGGCCTGGCCTGGAAAGGGGTGTGTGTGCCTGTCCTGCTGCTGTGGGTGTGGGTTAAAGGGGATCCAAAGTCCATATCCTTAGATGAAGACAGGAAAGGAAGGGAGGGTGCAAAATATCCACAGTAAGAGGTGTGGTGCAAAGACAGCATCAGAGGCCTAGCGTAGATAAAGTATATTGAGTAGGATGTTGCAGCTGTATTTGAGAGTCAAAAGTTTTGGAGAGCTTTCCATGTGTACTGGCCAAAAGCAGAAGGGAGCTGCTTTGAGTGAGTTTGCTCATGTGGCTAAGCTTACAATCAGGATGGGGAGAATTAAGGTTCCAGATCCCAGAAGCCCCTTCCCAGGTGGGATGCAAACTTCTCCCTGCATTGACTGCTTAATTGAAAGAGGCAGTGTGGTCTCTGACCACTTTCTGATGCTCCAGATACCTTAGCTGGCTATGGTCTCCACAAAAATTGTTCCTTTGCTCATCCTAAATTATAGGTAAGTCTGGAATTCAGAATGAAAGGTGAGGTCTCTAGGTCAAATGGACTACAGGGAGCAGGAAGGCCAGAAGGGTCAGAATTGGTAAATTAATGGAAGGGCTCTGGGCCCTCTAGCTTGTTAGCACGAGCAGGTAGGTGTCTTCGGGGAGGCGAACCCATAGTCTCTGTTCTCCCTGAGGCTGGAGGCAGGGCTGGTACTAGGCCTACAACACAATCCTAGAGGTCCTTGGCAGCCTGTATTTTCATTAACCAGTGAAAAAGGCAGCATTCACCCCAGGGAATAAGGGAGGTTATGTAGCCATCACTGCTTTGGAGCAGAGAGACTCCAGCCAGGTGTTTTTGAATTCTGTGTTGAGGTAGCTGGCCACTGAATGTAGGGAATACAACAGAGAGGCTCTTTTGGTACCCATTTGATACACTGTGGCTGGTAGGTAGGTGATAAGTGGACCTCAGATGCCACAGCTAGGGGACAAACTGGTCCAGAACTAGAAGGTCAGGTAAGAGGGCCTTGCAGGCAGAAGACCTTGCTGTTGAACAGGAAGTAATGCTTACCTCTCTGGCAAGGACGGTCCTTGCAAGTCTGAGGGCAGATGCTGGGCAACAAGATGCTGCTCAACACAACTGAGAAGGGCATCCCAGACGGTGGCAGCAGGCTTGGGAGACCAAAGCCAGAGAATGGGAAGCCGACCTGGCCACTGGGGATGAGAAAATAAGCTGAACAGGTAGGTGGGGGCTAGATGTAAAGGGCCTTGAAGGATGCCTGACCCCAGGAGTCAAGAGTAAACTTATCCCCTTGCCTAGTCCAGTAGGTTTTACTTCCAGCCACATCCAAGAACAGGCCAGATGGGCAGGGTCTGAGAAACCCTCCCATCAGGCCTTTCTATGATGCCCGAGTTCGGTGTGGGCAAAGGGCTTCCACATGCTACCCAAGCCAGATATCTGTGTGCTGACTTGGCTCCTCTCTTCTCTTACCTCACCTTCACCTCCCATCCCCCAAATCTGGCCAGCAAGTCCTGTCTGTCCATTCTCCCTGCCAAAAGCTGTCAAATTTCAGACCTCTGCTACATTAAAACATGAAAAAAAAAAAAAAACCTTCACAATCCTCAGCCCTTTCCAGGCACTACTTTCCCTTTTTTCCCAAACAAGCACCTGCAATGAGTCATCTACACCATCCAGCCATTCCCCCACCCACTGCAACTAGCTTCTGTCCCATGAGCCCACAATTCCTTCTCTTCACTCTGACCACTTATCACCAATGACTAAATGACCAAACCAATACATGGGCTCTCCATTCTGTGTCTTACTTAGGGTCTCTGTGGCACTGGACACTGTTGACCACTCCTTCCATCATTTTGAGGGTACAATGATTTTTAGTAACTTTGCTGAGTGGTGCAACTATTAACCATAAGTCAATTTTAGAACATTTTCATCTCCCTATAAGATCCTTCATGCTCACTTAGAGTTAATCCACATTACCACTCCCAGCCTCCACTAACCTTTCTAAATGTGCATTCTGAACATTTCATGTAAATGGAATCATTCAATATATGGCCACTCCCTTCTCTCTGGTTTTCATAATGCCAACCTCTCCTGATTTTCCTCCTGGTCCCTATCAGGCTTTTTCTGAGTCACCTCTTCTATCAGGCCCTAAGTGCCATGATTCTTATCTCAGCGTAGCTGATTTCATTTGCCCCTAAAGGTGATGACACCTCTTTCTCTCTAGCCTAGAGCCCTTTTCTAAGCTCCAGACTCACATTGTCAACTACACCTCTGCAGGGCATGTCCACGGGCACCTCAATCTCAGCATCTCTAGAACTGAGCTCAGTACCTACCACCCCAAGCCTGTTGGGCCTGGGCTTCACAGCTCAGGGAAGGGCACCAGATCCTCTGTCCCCCAACCCAGAAACTAAGGTGGCCACCATCCTTCACTCCTCTCATTTCCACACCTAGTAAATTACTCCAAAATCATCTCCTCAATACCATAAAATTTAATTTTTTTCTGAAAAAATTTTACTCCTTAGAAACTCCTCAAATAATGAGACACTGTCAACTTGTTTTGAACCAAAAAGCACTTTTTAGAGAAAACACATTACCCTGAAATGACCTCAGTCAGGCCAGTTTTGGATGCTTATAAGTAGTCCCCTGACAAAAATCAGTAAACAAGGAGACAAAGAAATTTAACACAGACTTAGTAGTTATTTTTCACAATCCCAAGAATTCCATTTAAACAAGCCTCTTAGAGATCACTAAATAGCAAAGCGTTTTTTAGATTTTATAATTGTACTGTGTGTGTTTTTGTTTTTTGGTTTTTTTTTTTTTGAGACGGAGTATAGCTCTGTCACCCAGGCTGGAGTGCAGTGGTGTGATCTTGGCTCATTGCAACCTCTGCCTCCTGGGTTCAAACCATTCTCCTGCCTCAGCCTCCTGCCACCACCCCCAGCTAATTTTTGTATTTTTCGTAGAGATGGGGTTTCACCATGTTGGCCAGGCTGGTCTCGAACTCCTGACCTTGTGATCTTCCCGCCTCAGCCTCCTAGAGTGCTGGGATTACAGCCATGAGCCACCGTGCCTGGCTGGCCCACACAAATGTTTTTAAAGGAGTCTTTTAGGCCAGGAGCAATAGCTCATGCCTGTAATCCCAGCAGTTTCGGAGGTCAAGGCAGAAAGATCACTTGAGCCCGGGAGCCCAAGGCTGCAATGAGCGAAGACTGTAACACTGCACTCCAGCTTAGGTGAGAGTGAGATTCTATCTACACACATATCTACACACATACACCACAGTCTTTTAGAAGAACTGAGATAGTAATGGATAACATGACAGAGTTGAGGTTTGGGTCAAAATAATATGGGAGGGGTTAGTGGGTAGAATTTGGCATGAAACAAGAGTGGCCACTAATTCATTATTGAAGCTAGATGATGGGTATGTGGGCATTCACTATACTACGCACTTAGACACATTTGAGATTTTTCTTTTTCTTTTTTTGAGACGGAGTCTTGCTCTGTTGCTCAGGCTGGAGTGCAGCGGCGCAATCTCGGCTCACTGCAACCTCTGCCTCCCAGGTTCAAACGATTCTCCTACCTTAGCCTCCTGAGTAGCTGGGATTACAGGCATGTGCCACTTATAATACTAATTTTTTTGTATTTTTAGTAGAGACGGTTTCACCACGTTGGCCAGGCTGGTCTCGAACTCCTGACCTCAGGTGATCTGCCCACTTCAGCCTCCCAAAGTGCTGGGATTACAGGTGTGAGCCACTGCACCCGGCCCAGCCACCATACCTGGCCGAGATTTTTCTTTAAAAATGTCTTTTATTTAGACACAGGGTCTCACCTCTGTTGCCCAGGCCAGAGTACACTGGTGTGATCATAGCTCACTGCAGCCTTGAACTCCTGGGCTCAAACAATCCTCCCACTTCAACTTCCTGAAGAGCTGAGACTACAGGTGCATGCTACCATGCCCGGCTAATTTTTTTATTTTTATATTTTTAGAGACAAGGCCTCACTATGTTGCCCAGGCTGGTCTCCAACTCTCGGGGTCAAGCAATCTTCCTGTCTCAGCCTCCCCAGATGCTGATATTATAGGTGTGAGCTACTATGCCCAGCAGAGATATTTCATAACATGTTTAAAGCAATACAGTAACTGGTTATTTTGAAGATTATTAGTATATATCCATAGAGGAACTGAGGGGGAAAAAAGCAATATCTTAATGTTATACTAAAAGGTAATTATGCTTAGGTTACAATTTTCAGTGATAACATCACATACTAATTCAGAAAGTATTCTCTTTGCTGTAACATGGATGAATCTCAATAACATTATGCTGAACGTAGACACAATAGTACATACTGTATGATTCCATTTATGTGAAATTCCAGAATAGGCAAAACTAATCTGTAGTGACAGTCAGTGGTTGCTGGGTGGGGATGCAGGAGACTGACTGCAAAGGGGCACCAGGAAACATGTTGGGATGATGGAAATATTCTCTTTCTTGATTGGGTGGAGGTTACATGAGGGTATACATTTGTCAAAGCACAAATTTTACACTTAAAAATGGATGTATTTATATGTAAATTATTCCTCAACAAAAATTATTTTTTAAGTAAAAAAATTTTAAGTAAAAAATGTTGGCCGGGCACAGTGGCTCACGCCTGTAATCCCAACACTCTGGGAGGCCAAGGCTGGTGGATCACCTGAGGTCAGGAGTTCAAGACCACCCTGGCCATGGTGAAACGCTGTCTCTACTAAAAATACAAAAAATTGGCCGGGCACGGTGGCTCAAGCCTGTAATCCCAGCACTTTGGGAGGCCGAGACGGGTGGATCATGAGGTCAGGAGATCGAGACCATCCTGGCTAACATGGTGAAACCCCGTCTCTACTGAAAAATACAAAAAA